ATGAACCCTAATTACTGGAGGCCTGAAACCCATTGCTCACTAGAGAAGACACAATGGGGCTGACACAAAACGATTTTAACTTGTTCTCTTTGTAGCTGAATAACTCAAAGGATTTTTCAGTGATTCTTACGATAAATGGTGTCAAAATGGCTAAATGTCTTATCTGAAAACCTGGAAAAAAAGAAATTAGTTTAGTGTTTTTTTTAGATATTAAACATTTTGTAGGAAAGACAATTATCGCATGCTGTTACACAATTTGAACAATTTTGTCGTTACACCCGCTATGTATTGTTCGTAATTTTACTATAAATAGATATTATTGCTTGGTTGATTTTGTTTGGCGGCATATCAACCTCTCTGGGTTATGGGTTAATATTTTGAACACAATTTCATGGCCTCAACTACAGATATTTTGTACATAATTTTATACTTTCAATGTAAATTTGTTTTCTCGATATATAGTATGTAGACAATAAAATGTGCTGTCGGTAATCTTACTGTAAAGATGTATATTTTTTAGCGATTAAAGATTTAAATGCAGATCAAATATGGATCAGAATCCGACCAGATGTTAAAATAAAGTACAAATAGGAAACATATATGAATTTAACATGTTTCGCTTTTGTTGAAGCTTCATCAAAAAGTGAGAGACAACAGAAAAAAAAAACACAAAACACTGCTATTTTCAATTTTTGTTTGGGTCAGTTCACATTGGTCAGTCACGTGTCACGTGCATTTTACATACATAGGGACTTATCTACGATTTTAATACACGTGACATGTGACTGACCAATGAGAACTGGCCCAAACAAAATACCAGTGTTTTCTGTCTTTTTTGTCTGTTTTCACTCAATCTCTGATGTAGCTTTCATAAAAGTTAAACATGTTAGATACGTTTCTTGTTCGTTATTTTATCATATATATATATATATATATATATATATATATATATATATATATATATATAGATAGATAGATAGATAGATAAAGAAAGAGAGAGTGAGAGAGAGGAGAGAGAGAGAGGGGAGATTTGTTTTTTTGTTTTTATGGCATATCAACCACAAAATCTTGTCGGCATTAAGTATGCCGACAAGATTTTTATCGCTGGTAATATTTTTTTCAAAAATGTATTGCTGGTGATATTTTTTTTTTTTCAAAAACGTATTGCTGTTAATATTTTTTCAAAAATGTATTGCTGATAATAATGCATTGTTGGTATTGGTTTTCCTTTAAAAAAATTATTGCTGATCATTTTTTAACAAAAATGTATTGTTCGTATTAAAACCTAGTTTTACACATTTATGGTGTTTTGGCCCCAGTTTGGGGGTTAACTATTTACCCATAGTTGGGACACTAGCAGATGCTACCACCCCGAGTTAGGGTGGAGCTGGTAATACCTCAAAATCTCCTGATCAGAGGTCTTGCTGTCGGATGCAGTTTATCGACTTACCAGGACGTTATTATATATATATATATATATATATATATATATATATATATATATATATATATATGTGTGTGTAGAGAGAGAGAGAGAGAGAGAGAGAGAGAATAGGATGTGAAAAACACCTAATGTTTTTATATATTTACATGTAATATTCATAATACATGTATATTTTTAGAGAATTATTGAAATTGTTTTAATTCCATGTAGATTTTCAGCAAAATTTGTTTTACTTTAACCGGTTTCGCTTTTAGCTTTTCAAAAAGTTTGTCAGCGTTCATTATATTCCCACGTGTTGACACTTATGCCTCGAATAAAGGAAAAAACAAATGAATGGGGCGTTGTTTCGTGTGTCGCTTAAGGTAAGGAAACTATGATAGAATATATATATATATATGTATGTATTGTTCATCATCCGTAGCACAACTCTGAGTTTCAAGCACGATGCAGTCGTCAGGTACTGACTGAAAGCTAACCAGTTTTCAATCAGCATCTGACAATTGCATCGTGCTAAACAAAATGTATGTTTATTAGTTAGGCCAACCAAATTTGTTTGGTATATTAGGTGAGACTCTTTCTGGGGTATATATCGTTCTCGCTGAATTCGGGGAGCACATTGGTTTTGTCCAATTGGCTCTAGTTTTTAAGATATTGCTCAAATGCGTTTTTCGTCTTTGTGAATTTGTACTATACAATGGTACTAATTAGAACACTGTATTATTGGTGTCCGAATATTTCAACAAAGTCGCATTTATTATGTTATTCAGCCTATGTTATATTCCGTACCTATGAACACTAATGGGTATGTCGCAAGACACATAAATACGTTGGACTCTATTGTAAGTGGGGGTAATATGCCGTCTAAGCATGAGAAGCTCTTACAGTGTCAAAATCTCTGCTTTGGGGCAGAGAGGAACCCGGACGAGGCTCTGCCAAAGGCAGAGTTTCGTCCGGGGAGGTAAACAGATACCCGATCCCGCGTATAAGGGGGGGGCGGGGGGTCCTCGGGCAAATTTTTGCTCGAGCCCACAGGCTCGGATTTCCCTACATTAAATTTGGCCTTGTGCCGCATCCTAACTTTTTTTTAAAAAAAAGATATTACCAGCAGAAAATCTTTGAAGACAAAATTATAACCAGGAATACATTTTTGGAAAAATATTACCAAAAATATTGTTTGAAAAAATATTACCAGCAATAAAAATCTTGTTGGCATTAAATAACCCATTAAGGTTGATATGCTGTAAAAGAAACCAAACCATTCTTTTCCCGGCGATCTTTATTTCTCCTCCTCTTGGTTTTCTTCCTAATTCTTTTTTTTAACTTTATCTTGTTTCTTGATTTCTGCTATTTTTTATTTTCGTTCTATCATTTTTGCCATAGTTCTTTTTCTTCTTTCTTTAATCATTTTCATTTATTCCTCCCCTCTTTCTTTATGTTGTTCTTTCTTTCCTTCTTTCATTTATTCTTGGTATTTTTCTTATAGATTTTATTTAGGTTTCACTTCCTTCAACCTTTCTTCTTTCTGTCATTTTATCATTTTCTTTTCTTTCTTTACCATCCATCTTTCTTTCTTTTCCTTTATTCTTTCTTTCTTTTCCTTTATTCTTTCTTTCTTTTCCTTCATACTTCTTTCTTTTCCTTTATACTTTCTTTCTTTCTTTTCATTTATACTTTCTTTCTTTTCCTTTATTCTTTCTTTCTTTTTCTTTATTCTTTCTTTTTTTCTTTATTCTTTCCCTTTATTCCTTCTTTCATGTTTTTCCATTAGTCTTTCTTTCATTTTTCCTTTATTCTTTCTTTCTTTCTTCTCCTTTATTCTTTCTGTCTTCTTTTCCTTTATGCTTTCTCTTTCTTTTCCTTTATTCTTTCTTTCTTTTTCTTTATTTAATCTTTATTTTCCTTTATTCTTTCTTTCATTTTTCCTTTATTATTTCTTTATTCTTTCTTTCTTTCTTTTCCTTTATTTTTCTTTCTTTCTTTTCTTTTATTCTTTCTTTCTTTCTTTTCCTTTATACATTCTTTCTTTCTTTTCATTTATTCTTTCTTTCTTTCTTTCTTTTCCTTTATTCTTCTTTCTTTTCCTTTATTCTTTCTTTCATTTTTCCTTTATTTTTATTTTTTCCTTTATTCTTTCTTTGATTGTTTCCTTTATTCTTTCTTTCTTTTCCTTTATACATTCTTTCTTTCTTTTCATTTATTCTTTCTTTCTTTCTTTCTTTCTTTTCCTTTATTCATCTTTCTTTTTCTTTATCTTTCTTTTGCTTTATTCTTTCTGTCTTTCTTTTCCTTTATTCTTCTTTCTTTTCCTTTATTCTTCCTTTCTTTCTTTTCCTTTATACTTTCTTTCTTTCTTTCTTTTCTTTTATTCTTTCTTTCATTTTTCCTTTATTCTTCTTTCTTTTCCTTTATACTTTCTTTCTTTCTTTTCATTTATTCTTTCTTTCTTTTCCTTTATTCTTCTTTCTTTTCCTTTATACTTTCTTTCTTTCGTTTCCTATATTTCTTCTTTTATTGTTTTCTTTTATCTCTATTCCTCTTTCTTTCCATTTTTTCCTGTCTCTTTTCTTCCCTTCTCTTATTTTTTCAATCATTTTCCTTCCTTCTTTTTCTTTCTTTCATTTTTTTCTTTCTTTCGCCCTTTCAGTCTATCTTCTTTCTTTCTTTCTTTCTTTCTTTCTTTCTTTCTTTCTTTCTTTACTAGACCACTTTCTCCATACGGTTGAGTTTTCTTCTCCGGATGGTCGTTCCATAAACCTGTGAGTCGACTTATTTCATTTATTTTCAACTCTTCGCCATTTCTTTGCATCTTTGGCTCGACTACCTCTAAATGGTGGAAATCTGATTTGGCAACCAATTGCCGCCCACATCTCCCACAAAATACCAATTTTTCACGTCCCTACTCTCTCTCTCTCTCTCTCTCTCTCTCTCTCTCTCTCTCTCTCTTATTTCAATAATTCTTATTCTTTTCCTCTTTTCCCATATTATTAACCTCTCCTTGCTCATTCTCTATCACTTATTTTTATTCTTTCCCTCCAACTTTCTTTCTGTTTCTCCTCCCATTGTATGTACCTGTCTTTTTGTTGTTGTTGCTCTCAGGAGAGGGGAAGAGGTAAAAATAGATAACAGACTTCAATAAATAACTGGAAATGATTACTTTCGCACACTTCTATTCCGCAACGATCCAATGTTGAGTCATTCACACACTCTGAGAACATAGGCGCATATTTATATATACAGAAAAAGAGACAGATTGACAGACAGCGGGAAAAAGTATGTGTGTTTGAGAGAGAGAAAGAGAGAGAAGAGAAAAACGAGAGTAAAGTAGGATAAAGACAGGGAGTATAAAAGAAGGCGAAGTTTTCTTTTAAATACGCCATTTTGCTTTTTGGAAATGAATGGTAACTGAAACTGGTCGAGTAGAGAAGCAAATGGTTAAAGAAAGAAAGAAAGAAAGAAAGAAAGAAAGAATAAAAATAGAGAAATGTAACGAAAAAGAAAATGGACACAAAGAAAAAAAGAAAGAAAGAATGTGAACAAAAGAAAGAAAGATAGAGAATCAAATAAAGAAAGAAAGTGAACAATAGTGAGAGAAGAAAAGAAGGTAAACAGAAAGAAGAAAAAGTGAATAAAAGTAAGAAAATGAAGAGAAAGAAAAAAGGATGAAAGAGAGTAAACAAATGTAAGAAAAAAGAAAGTGAATAAAAAGGAAGAAAGAAAAAATAGCGAAAAAATGAAAAACTAAAATCAACTGAAAGAAAATAAGAAAGATAAAAGTAAATAAAAGTAAGAAGGAAAGAAAGAAAAAGAAAGAAAATGAATGAAAGAAAAAGTAAACAAATGTAAAAAAGTGAACAAAAAAGAAAGAAAGAAAAAATGAAGCGAACAAAAGAACGAAAAAAAAAGAAAGAAAGGATGAAAGACAGAAAGAAAAACGAAAGAAAGTGAACAAATCAAAGAAAGAAAATGAATAGAAGAAAATTAAGATACCAAAACGAAGGTAAGATGAACTTGAAAGAAAATAATCCAGAATTTTTTTTTTCTTGGTTAAAGAGAGCATAAGAGAATTAGGGAAATGTAAAGGGCATCGTTTGTCGTAGCTGTAAATAAAAGAGGTTAATATGAAAGAGAGCAGAAAGAAAAAAGAATGATTAATGAAAGAAAAACTATAGAAAGGAAAAGTGAGAAAGAAAGAAAGAAAAATATGTAAAGAAAAAGAAAGAATTTACGAAACAGAGAGATAGAAAAAAGGAAAAAGAATAATTGAAACAAAGGCCAAAATTAAGTTGAAAGAAAAAACGAAGGAAAGAAAGAATCGCTTAAAGGAGTACCAAAAAGTAAGTAACAAAAAAAAAAGGTTAAAGGTAATGAGAGTGAATAAAATGCGAAAATTAAATCGGAAGCCGCGTCCTTGTAACTGAGGCGTGAAAATTTTCCTTGCCAAATACTAGAGAGCTTAAAGTTCCTCATAATTCATAAGTCATTCACGTGTTGGTCACGGCCCTACGTTAGTCATACTTCACATATGGAAATGTGTTCAACTTTTATGCGAGCACGTGGCTAGACAAGGTTCACTTAATAGAGCGTTTAATTGTAGTTTGCCTTCCCAGTTTTTACCTACACGCACACACACACACATATATATATATATATATATATATATATATATACAGTGTAACCCGGATATAAGAGACACCCGGATACAAGAGAGATTTTCTCTGGTCCCAAATTAGAGCCCATACTTACCTAAACAAAATAGACCAAACCCGGATATAAGAGAAACCCGGATATAAGAGAAACCCGGATATAAGAGACTTCTTCTCCGGTCCCGACAACTCTCTTATATCCGGGTTACACTGTATATATATATATATATATATATATATATATATATATATATATATATAAGAAACATCCCTTTATTGAGTCGACAGTAGAAAAATGGCGGAAAGCCACACCCTTTATGGGCACCCCTGCTAAATGCGATTGTTGCATTGTCACAGATTTCGATCCTCACGTGGATCGGCGCTACACAGTATTTTTTGATATTCTTTAAGCCTTTTATGGTACAAAGCCTTATGATGAGGCAAATGGACGTATTTTACAGGCCCGAGCAGATCGCTTTAATAAAATTATTCGGAATTGGCTAAAGCGTCATAAGTGTATTTTGTGGAATTCGTTTGTGTCGGAAGACGGTGTTGCCTAATTGGAAGACATGCCTCCCTTGAAAATCAGCATTGTAAAACTTTACTACTTGCTTGATGACAAACACCGAACACTTACATAACTTATCCACTCGCCATACCGTACTGTCATACAGTGTACAATACAAAAACTCCTTTTAATATTAAGCCAGATTTTTTTTAATGTCATGTCGCTTCAGGAAGTAGGCGATTATGGCTCACCGTATATTCCTTTTCATTATTACCTGGGAATTACCATGACTTCTTGGAAAAGTTAGTTTCTCTTTGCGTTTTCCACAGATACCTTTTTTATTTTTATAAGGGATTTGCCATGACCTCTTGAGAAAGATAGTGCAATTGTTTCCCGTTGCTTTCTCTACAGATTGATTTCTGTTTATTATATATTATGTGCCATAAATTCTTGGGAACGATAGTGGAGTAGTTTCTCGTTAGCGTTCTCCATAGATTCCCTTTTCCTTGTTAACTTGAAATTACCATGACTACTTTGGAAAGATAGTGGAGTATTTTCCCGTTGCCGTCTCCAAACATTCCTTTTTCTTTATTATCTGGGAATCGCCATAAATTTTGGGAAAGATGGTGGAGTAGTTTCTCGTTGCTTTCACCACAGATTTCATTTTCTTTATTATCTGAAAAATGCCATGACTTCTTGGGAAATATAATGGATTAATTTCTTGTTACCATCTCTACGCTTTAGAATTTAGAGTATTCTATCCTCAAGACTAGTTGCCACTAAAGTTTTTCTTAATTCCATTTCCTTTCAGGGCATAGCTTTCCATAGATGCCTTTTATGTGAAGTGTCATACCTTCTTGGGAAAGATAGTGGTGTATTTCCGGTTGCCTTCTCCAAAGTTTGAAATTCAGGTTTTTCTTCTCTTTGATTGATCGTCGCTCAAGCCTAGAGAGAACAGTCTACATTGGTATTTGATCCGTAGCTGAGACAGGGGTTCAAAAATATGGATTTATGCCTTTCCCAAGAGCATTAGTACAAAGTAAAAACACTAGACTCGATTTCAGGACGTATGCCTTCACGACTCTCTACAGCTTCCTTTTTTAAATTATCTGTGAATTTACGTGATTTCTTGGAAAGGAATTTCAGTGGTTTACTGCTGCCTTCTCTACGCTTTTCTCTTCAGACCTTTTCCTTCTATTAGACTGACTGACATCCATAGCTAGAGAACCCAATCAACACCAGCTATTTACAAGGGCTGGCTGAAAAGTTCATAGGCTGACCAAGAGATATGTAAGTAGACACACCCGTTGTTAGATAAAATGACCTGCAATTGTACCAGAATACAACTAATGGTTATCCAGCTGTTGTATTCTGTTACACTTGGTACCACCCGTTGCATTCTGTTACACTTGCACGTCTTTTAGTCTACCAACGGGTGTGTCTACTTGCATTTATATCTTGGTCAGCCTATGATCTTTACAGTCTACCTTCGTAAATAGCTGGTTTTGACTGGGTTCTCTAGCTATGGATGTCAGTGAGTTTAAGAAAAGGACAAATCAGATGCACTTAGTTCTTTTGATGTTCTGGTGTGACGACTAAGCTATGCTTAGAAAATCATTTGGGCACTTCGACGTGATGTAATGGTTCACGAACTTGTCTCGCCAGATCAATTACGACTGAACTGTGAATTCGATCCTCACTGGGTACCTCATATATTCGGCCTTGTGTCACATCTAAACAAAGCTTAGAAAATCACCAGGCATTACAGTTAACGGGCGAAAGCGTGTCATGTGGCATGATCTAATTTTTGAACAAGGCCAATACTCGCAGACCCTTGGCTACGATGACATCGCGTGGCTGAATTATTAGAATATTTGTTTTCTGACCATGATACTCGGCTTCGAATCGATTTTTCAACGAGGTGACTTCTTGATATTGTGGATCTGGGAAGGTGGTCTCAGTGCACGACACCTTTGGAAAATACCTGGAAAAGTTACATCGCCTTTGGTGACTGTGTAGTCCCACTCTGGAGCGGCAGTCTCCCAGGCACTTGATGCAGACGCTACGAGCCTGGGTGGGATGTATGGAGAACTAGGGCTGCCCGGACGTCTAGTTCCCCCTCTCGGCCTTGCTAGCAGAGTCCAAAGGAGAGGATAAACCAATACAGTTTGGTACCAGCGCGACTGCAGGAGTTGCCGAAAGGTAGCACAAAGTGCCGTCCATCCTCCTTAGGGGATCCAGTCCGGATTTGTGTAGGGTTTACTCCTTAGCCTTTTCTTCTCCCGAAGATTTCCACAAGGCAGTGGAGCTGTTTAACCCATAGCTGGGATTTAGTTCATGGGCACCAGGGCATGTCCACACACCGGTGGGCCTGCATACCGCATGTTAAGGGGGCCAAACTCCTCCCCCGTCACCTGTAGTTTAGCCCAAGTCCGCAAGGTGCTCGGTTGTCATGTGTCACCACGAGGAGGCACTACATAGGCTACATGGCAGGGGAAGACTTACGCACTCGGCTCCCCTTTTCGCATTGCTGCTAGCCAGCGGCGGTAACTGAAAGCGAGAAGCGACGTGCACTACCACTAAAGACTACCACACTAGACGCATCACAACAGCCGTTGAGACACGTAAAAATAGTGGAAATTAGTGTAGTGACTTTATTTCACTAATATTAAGATAGAACTATTGTTTGTATTCTAGATAATTAGTGAGATGAATATACAGGGTGTCCATAAAGTTCGTGTGCACTTTAGAACATTTATAACTTTATTTGTATTTGCGATAGAAATATTCTGTAAAAAATGTTATAAAGTTTAATGTACCTAATCTTAAGTATAGCTAAAATAACTAATGTGACTTCAGGCATAACTGTAAATTAGTTGGCAAATGTTTTCCGTGAACTGCAAAATCGTATTACCCTTTGTATTGCTAATGATGGAGGACATGTGGAAACTTAAATAAAAATTTCAATAAAACCTTAAAAAACATAGATTTACTTCTTTCTAATCCTTTTTACAAATTATTTCTATCACAAATACAAATAAAGTTATAAATTTTTTAAAGTGCACACGAACTTTATGGACACCCTGTATAATTCTAGGACAATGGGATGAAAAAATATTGAGAAATTCTGAGTCTATTGATACCTATAACATTACACAAGTTGTCTTCAGATCTGTAAGCAAATCAAGAATTTATTTCCAGATCTTTCCTGTCAATTGTATACCACACTTATAAACTTTGTAAGTCATTTCAATTATTTTTAGGAGAAGACATACTTCACCATGTGAATCATATAATTAATAAAAAAAATCAACACGAATTCTTAAAGGGTAACTTTTGCTTATCAAATATATTTCAGACTGTCTAGAAATCCAATCAAAGACGATATGAAACAAACTGTGCCGACATTTTTTATTTGGATTTTATTTGATGTTGTTCCGCATTTTAAACTTTTGTAAAACTTGAGGCAGTTGAGTAAAACTTGAGGCAATATTAATTATTATCAAGACAATAAATGTGGGTGGGGGATGTGATGCATTTCTCAAGGGAATAGTGGAGCATCTCTCCGAACCCAAATCATGCGATAATAGGCTTTACATTCAGTATCCTTTATTGAAGACAGTTACGAGTTTGGCTTGGAGAATCACCGCCTGGCCGGTGAGTGCAGAGCCATGGGATCAGCCACGAACCAATCAGACTGCCGACCGGCCTAGCTACCTCCGTGCGTACGGACCCACGACACCGAGCAACAACAACGACGACGACGGCGATCGATACGCACGGCGCGTGCTACCAACCCTGCCGGCCAACAAATTCCTTCGTTAGCAGCGTGACCAACGTGTACGATGACGTTTGCTTTTTGTTCTCAGACAATTGCCAACGTACGCGAACGAATGGAGTGGAATCGAATGAAATGGAATCCAGGACGCGTTCACTGTCGTCCGCTAAACCTATGTGCGCGCGTGGGAAAAACCGTGTGACAGTTACATACGTAAACACCAACCAACTGACAAAGATGGAGAAAATGTAATGTTACGTACAAGAGAGTCTGACTCTTGCTTTCATTTGTAATGTACAACGATAATTCATTGCACTTATTTCCATCCCGTCCAGATTATCACTTGTTTACATGGAATTCACGGACACTCCAAAATATTCAAAAACAAATTCCTCGATTAATTACTCGAATTAAGAACCTGAAACATTGTAAATATAATGCGAATTCACTGAGTGATCCGTAAGATAGTACTACAATAATCTTCCAAGTTAAATACCTTGCCTGCCGACCTTTTTTTAATCATTACACAACAAAAAGGCAATAAAGCCACTAAGACCAAAGGGGATTACTCAGTGTTAGAGAGT